TGAAGGTTGATTTGATGCGCCGCGCACCGAACCGCAAACGGCCACAGAAAATGGGGGGCAGCCGCATGCATCATGGACGTACGAGCGACGTCCATGACCATGCCAATGCGGCGCTCAGCAATCCCATTTTGCTGTGGAGAGTCCGGAAGCGTAAAGGTCTGGCGGATGCCTCGCGCACGGCAGTAGGCTCGCAGAAGGCCAGAGGAGAGCTCTCTGCCTCTGTCAGAGTGCAGACGTAGAACAGGAAAGTCCGAGCCGAAGCTCCTCCTGAGCTGGAGACGAGCTGCGCGGATCAAGTCGATCAACACCTCAGTGACATCGCTCTTGCTGCGCAAGGGGAAGACTGTGGTGTAACGCGAGTAGTCGTCAACCACCAGCAGAAAGTAGCGCTCGTGACCCTGTCCACGGACGCGGGCCGGGCCCCACACGTCCATGTGAAGCGTCTGCAGCGGGGACTCTGTCGGGGGAAACGGAGAGGAGTGAGGAGCAGCCCGTAGCCGCCCCTCGACACAGGGGACACAGGAAGGACCAGGCCCCGAAGGAAGGGGAGGGAGGGACCGGGGAAGACCAGAGACAAGGACACGGGAAGCCATGCCTCGGAGACGAGGCAGGGAGGGGTGACCAAGACGGTGGTGCCACAAGAGAGTCTCGTGAGACAGGAGGCGACATGAGCAGGGGGCAGACTCAGGACCAGACCTGGACGCTGCAGCAAACACCTGACCAGATGCAGCTACCTGACCAGACGCAGGGACAGGAGGAGACTCAGTGGTCAGGGTGTAGAGGCTCGACCCCGGCCGACGCGTAAACGTGGCCAGGTGCCGGCCTGTGCGAGCGTCCGAGCAGTGGGCCACCCGCTGACTCGCAGGAGTAAACTGGTGAACCCCCGCATACTGCAGGTCAGCACCACTCACCAAGTTCGTAGAGAACGAGGGGAGGTAAAGACCAGACAAGGTGCCAGAGGGGGCAGCCGGACACGGGAGGACAGTGGAGAAGTGAGAGAGGACAGGACCCCCAGAGGGGTCTGCCAGGGAGACTGCAACCGGCCGACCAAGCGGCGTGAGTGTGGTGCGGTCTCGAAAGAAGGAGCGAGAAGCCCCTGAGTCAAGTGTGAAGGTGAGGGAGGCCGAAGCCGACGTGGTACCTGAGAGCGCAAACTCACCAGTACCTGAGGACGCAGACGCACTAGCACCTAGAGCAACAGCCACACTAGCACCTAGAGCAGCAGCCTCACCAGCACCTAGAGCAGCAGTCTCAATGCCCGGATCGGGCGGGAAACACCGGTAACAGTCACCCTCGTCACTATAAGTCACAGCATACATGGCAGCAAGAATAGCATCAAAGTCAAGATCAAAGATAGCTACACCTGCCCTAGACAGCTCTCCCCAGCGGGGGATCTCAGCGGCCTCCGGGAACTGGTGACGCCAAGCGTCCGTCAGGCGGCCAAAGCAGCGCTGGGTGGAGTGGGCACCCCCACACTGCTCACCCGCGCGGTCGCCGGTGCGAAGGACGTAGGTGCACGGACCAAAACCCCCACCACGCTGACGCGCAGCGTACCACTCACGGAGCTGCTGAGGGGGGGGGATGTCCCGAGAACGCTGTTGCTGCTGCTGCTGGCGCTGACCACCACCGGAGCCGCTCCGCTGCAAAGCGCCACCCCGACCAGCTCCACCTCCTCCACCACCGCCTCCTCCACCTCCGCCACCACCGCCGCCTCCGCTCCCACCGCTACCGCCTCCGCCGCCTCCGCCTCCACTGCTGCCACCGAAACCTCCACCCCCGCCACCACTCCCACCGCCACCCCCACTCCCTCCGTGGCCTCCACCGGCACCTCCGCCACCCCCGCTAGCTCCACCCGCGCCCTTGCCCCCTTTGCCCTTGCCAGAGCGGCGTCTCCCGCTAGGGGCAGACGCCGCACCGACCGACTCAAGACCAACAAGGTCGGCCGCAGCAGCAGAGGCGACAGAGGGCAAAAGGGGGGAAGGGGAACACCCCTCAAAGATAGGGGTGCGAGGGTCACCACGAGAGGCTCCTACAGCGACTATGCTCTTCTCCGCTGCTAGGAGGGCCTTCTCTAGGAGGTCAACAGTGAGAGTGGTGGGACAGACCGAGAGGAAGTGGTCCCTGACTACACGAAGGGAGTCAGGGAGGCGGGTGACTATATAATAGAGAGTGATGTACATGGGGGGGTGGTTCTTGGCGCAGAACTCAGCAGGAAGCGCAGCGCGGTAGCGAGTGTCACTAGTGCGGAGGTGCGTAATGAGGTCAGCGACTGTGGGAAAGGCAGCAAGGTCAGGGAAGAGGTACGGCAGTATGAGGCGGCTCAGTGCAGCAGTGGCAGGGGAAGAGTAGCGCGCAACTACGGCGTCGTACAAGGTCTGAGCACTCTTGTACTGACTAAAGTGTGCGCGCTCAGTGGTAGGCAGGTGGCGACGCACAGCAAGTCGTGCAGCAGCATCGCGAGTGGCCCACTGGGAGCGAACAGTGGCGTCGGCATCGGCAGCAGGGGCAGGGGAGGCACCACAGGTGAGGTCAAAGAGGGAGAGACCGTCTGCCCTATCGCACTGTAGGAAAAGCTGCAGGTCATCTACCCAGACCTCAAAGTCAATGGCCCGACCCTCAGCGTCAAAAGCGAGAACACTGGGGGTGGCCATGACAGCAGTAGGCTAGCAGTGCTAACTGTAGGACAGGGGCAGTGCAATGACAGAAGCGCTGCTCTCACCAGACAGGGCGGTTCGGCCAGCTCGGCAACACAGCAGCACGTCAACACGGCGGCTCGGGCGACTCGGGCGGCTCAGCAGCAACTGCGGCTCGGCGGCACCAGCGGCTCGGCTCCTCTGCGGCTCAGGCGGCTCGGGCGGCTCGGGCGGCTCGGGCGGCTCGGGCGGTTCGGGCGGCTCGGGCGGCTCGGGCGGAACGGACGGCTCGGGCGGCTTGGGCGGCTCGGGCGGCTCGGGCGGCTCGGTAGGGCGGCGGGGCCGCAGCGAAGGGCGGTGGGGCTGCAGCGAATGGCGACGGGGCCGCAAGGTAGGTGGCGGGGCCGCAGCGAGAGGGGCGGCGGGGCCGTAGCGAGAGGGGCAGCGGGGCCGCAGCGAAGGGCGGCAGAGCCGCAAGGTAGGCGGCAGGGCCGCAGCGAGAGGGGCGGCGGGGCCGCAGTGAAGGGCGGCGGAGCCGCAAGGTAGGCGGCGGGGCCGCAGCGAGAGGGGCGGCGGGGCCGTAGCGAAGGGCGGTAGGGCCGCAAAGAAGGGCGGCGGGGCCACAGTGAAGGGCGGCGGGGCCGCAGCGATGGGCGGCGGGACCGCAGTGAAGGGCGGCAGGGCCGCAGCGAAGGGCGGCGGGGCCGCAGCGAAGGGCGGCGGGGCCGTGACAGGGCGACGTCGGGGCCGTAGGGGGAGGCGACGGGGCCGTAGGGCTAGGCGACGGGGCCGCTAGGATGATGGGGCCGCCAGGGCGACGGGGCCGCTAGGGCGGCGCGACGCAGTGAGAGAGAGGAGCGCGACTCGGGCTGAGCGCGCCCTGGGCAGGAAAAAAATATCGATGTGGTGGGCCCTAGGCACAGTTCCCACTAGGGAACCTGCTCTGATACCATGAGAAGACTGAAACGAGAATGATTGACTAAGGAACGAAAGTGATACAAATATGCAACCCTAGAAATGTGTACCCCATATAGGCTACCCCACTATAGCCTACACAACATTATAATTTGACAGTTTGGCGCGCGACGGTTTACTTGCACCCGTGCGCCGCCCCGTGGCACCCGCGCGCCGCCCCGGTGCACCCGCGCGCCGCCCCGTGCACCCGTGCGCCGCCCCATGCACCCGTGTGCCGCCCCTCTGTAGCCACGGGGCAGCTTTTTCCCCGCCCCCCCGGCCCCCCCTTCTCCTTCCTCTCCCTGCTGCGTGTGCAGCCGTGGGGGGGAGGGTATGGGGGTGGCGGGTATGGGGGTGGCAGGTGTGAGTAATCTGCTGCTCCTCCTCTCTCTCCCACTGCTGCAGCTGCCGCTAAGGGGGGGAGGGTGTGGGGGAGCCGAGGGAGTGGCGCTAGGGATGCAGAAGGGGGTGTGGAAAGGGGGTGTGTGACAATGGGGGAGGATGAAAGGAGGTAGCCGCCATGAAGCCTGCAGCTCCAATAGTCCGGATGCCCTTTCTCCGGTAGCCCGCGAGCCCATTGCTCCAGTCGCCCGTGGGTCAGTTGCTCCAGCCGCTCGACTAGCCGCGGAGCTGGTTACTCCAGTAGTCCGGATGCCCTTGCTCCGGTAGCCTGTGTGCCAGTTGCTCCAGTCGCCCGTGTGCCAGCAGCTTCAGCTGCCGCCTCCTACCTCCTCTCCTCTCATAGTCCCCCCTCCTCCTCCTCTCTTGCCCTCTAGTTCTGCCACTAGCCTTTGCTTATGACCTAGTCATGCGATTGCTTGTTGTGTTGACTATACCCCACTTCGCCGTCGTCTTCGACGAATCCGTCCCCTATTACTCCACTCCTCCCCCTGATCCTCTCCCTCCTCCCACTCGTCCCCTTGCTTGGACCGACACCGTCCTCCCGCCCCTTCTCCCTCCAGCCCCTCTCCTCCCACCCGTCGCAGCTCCGCTCCCGCCCTCCTCCTCCGCCGATGTCTACGACCCTGCCGCACCCGCTTCCCCCGCTCACTCGGCCGCACCCCCTCCCCCCCCCTCCCTCCCCCTCTCCCTCTCCCTCCTTCCAGCAGCCGGATCAGCAGCAGCAGCAGCAGCAGCAGCAGCAGCAGCGGTTGTTAAAATATATATTGTGTAGCATGCCAACACATGTGACTGTACACCAATTGTGGTGTACAGTTGGGTTGGGACTACACCCAACTTTGGGTGTAGTCTTGCACTTTGGGGTGCCAATCTACCCAATTGTGGTGGAGCCCCCAAATGCAACCCTCTTGACTTGTGGGTACCTCACTTCCCACAATTGAGGTTCCCCCAAGCCAAGTGGGCCTAGGGTTGCCTCACTTTTACAAAGTATGGGCAACCCAACCCACTTGACCTATGGTTCCCTCATCCCCCCAAGTGAGGTCAACCCAACCTATGGTCACTTTGATCCTTCCCTTCCATCCTTCCTTTCCAACCTTTCCTTCCAACCATGTATGCTAGGTTGTCCCCCTAATCTAATCACTTTTTGTTCAATTCACAATCTTCACATGGTATAGAGCTAGTTGTTCCTAAGCCTTTCTCTCCTTCCCTCGAAGTTTTTTTTCCCCCATGAGCCCACCCCACAGCCACAAACCTCCTACATGTGGCTCAACCTAGCACTTCCTTGGCACGACCTACGCCGTCGCCACTCTTCCCTCCCTCCGCCGTGATTGCACCCTCCTCGCCTGCGGATCCCACCGCCGCGAGTGCATCATCGCCCCCCGTCGCCGCGACACACCGTCGCTGCCCCCCCTCCCCCCTTCTTTTTTCCGCCGCCGCGCCTTCTCTGGCGCCGCCTGCGCATCCTGCCGCGACGCGTCGTCGCCGCCTCCTCCTCCCCCTGCCGCGACCCCCCGTCGCCGTCTCCCTCCCGCCGCCGCGCCTACTTCGGCGTCGCCCGCGCATTCCCCCGCCGCGACACCCCGTCGTCGCCTGCCCCTCCCGCTGTCGCGACGTCGCATCGCCGCCTCCCCCTACCGCCGTCGCGCCTTCCTCGGAGCCGCCTGCGCATCCCGCCGTCGCGACGCCCCGTCGTCGCCTCCCGTCCCGCCGCCGCGACATCGCGTCGCCGCCTGCGCTCCCCATCGCCGCGACCCCCCCCGTCGCCGCCTACGCATCCCGCCGCCGCGACCAGCTCGTCGCCGCCTGCACGATCCGCCGCCGCGACTTCGCGTCGCCGCCTACGCATCCCGCTGCCGCGACCTTCTCGTCGCCGCCTGCACGACCCACCGCCGCGACTTCGCGTCGCCGCTTGCACGACCCGCCGCCGCGACTCCGCGTCGCCGCCTGCGTATCTCGCCGCCGCAACCTTCTCGTCGCCTCCTGCACCCCTTGCCGCCGCGACTTAAAGTCGCCGCCCGCGCGACCTTTTCCTGCGACCTGCTCGTCGCCGCCCGCACATCCCGTCGCCGCGACCTAAAAATCGCCGCCCCCGCATCTTACCGCCGCGACCTACTCATCGCCGCCCACGCATCCCGCCGCCGCGCCTTCCTCGTCGCCGCCCGCGCATCCCGCCACCGCGCCCTCCCCGTCGCCGCTCGCGCATTCCGCCGCCTTGACTCCCTCGTCGCCACCCGCGCATCCCGCCGCCGCGCCTTCCTCGCAGCAGCCGCCTCATCCCTCAGCAGCAGCGTCATTGGCAGCAACAGCCCCGCCCACACCTACACCTGCGTTCTCCCTCCCACTCCCCCTTTCCTCTTCCTCTCCTCCCACGCAGCAGCAGCCGAGACACCTCAACAGCCACAACAGCAACAGCGGCAGCACCGGCAGCAGCGGCAGCGGTGGCAGCAGATGCATCCACCATCTTCCTCCCCCTCCTCCCCTCCCCCCCCCACCCCCCCCCTCTCCTCCCTCTTAGCAGCAGCAGTGGCAGCAGCGGCATCAGCGGCAGCAGCGGCAGCATCGGCAGCAGCGGCAGCAGCAGCAGCAGCAGCGGCAACAGCGGCAGCATCGGCAGCTGCGGCAGCATCAGCAGCAGCCGAAGAAGACCTCCACTCCCCGCAGCAGCACCCCCCCCCCCCTCCCCCCCCCCCCGCCCTCCTCCCTCTCGGCTGCCGCGCGTCCACCCGCCGTCGCCCTCCCCCTTGACCGCCGCGGGTCCACCCGCCGCCGTCCACCTCTAGGCCGCCGCGGGTTCACCCGCCGTCGCCCCTCATGGCTACCACTCCTCCCCCTCTCCCTCCTCCCATTGACGCCTCCTCCGTCGACAAGCTTCAGCTTGCCGCGGACCGCTCGGCGATGAATTGGCATTCCTTCGTCAGGAGCATCCGCCATGTTCTCCAAGATGCATTCGTCGGACCCTACTGCGTCATCGACGTCCTCCTCCGCCGCCCGCAAGCCCTCCAGCCCACGGCACCCAATCACCCCGGCGAACCCCCTCCACCCCCCATTCCTCCTGGTCCTCCTCCTACTGAACCCACCTTGGAGATCGCCACTACCCCAGCGCTCCAGGATGCAGCCGATGCCGCATTCCTCCACGATCGCCGTGAATACCTCATCCGCAAGGCGGAGCATGAGGTTGCGGTACATAACCACGACTTCGCGCTAGCGGAACGCGCCAATCGCCTGGCGCTCCTTGATGAATACAATACGGCCATGGCGGACTACCTCCCTCGGAGCATCGCGTGGGCCACTGCTGATAACCGCGCCTGCACCATCCTCCTCGGCGCACTCCCTGGTACCCTCATGCGCCGTTTCCAAGCTCGCGAGATGCGCGCCTCCCTCATCTGGGCCAAGCTCCAGGCGATGTTCGAGCGTCGCGACATCAGCTCTGTCGGCGCCCTGTTCCAGGAGTACTTCTCCATCACTCTCGCCACTTGTGATGGCGCAGTTGACTACGTGGGGCGCATGCAGGAGGTCGCTGATTGCCTTGCGGCACGCCAAGCTGCCCTCCCCGAGCCTCTGCAAATCCACCGCCTCCTCTACAACCTCACCCCGGACTACGAGTCCCGCCTCCATGCCTTCACTGAGGCCAACCCCATGGCCGGCCTCGACGATGTGGTCCAGTGGATCATTGACACGGAGGTCAAGCTTCGTACCCCCGTTGTCAACCTTACCACCCCTCAGTCCTCCTCCTCCACCTCCCTCACCGCTACGCAGCCGCGCAACCAGGGTGGTCGCAGCAGCAGCGGTGGAGGCCGTGGTGGTGGCGGTGGTGGTAGTGGTGGCCGTGGTGGCCGTGGTGCCGGTGGAGGTGGTGCTGGTAGCGCCCTGCTGGAGGACCTTCCGGTTCTGGTGGTGCTGTGACTCGAGGTGGACGCCCTGGCACTCTTCCCCCATGCCCATATGTGCGCCGCCATGGTCCCCATGCTGGTACCCCTTGTGGCCAGACCAACCATCCCCCCACGACGTGCTTTAAGGCACTCGATGACGCCTGGTTTGATCGAGGCAACACTGGCACCCCTCCTCGCTGGAACTCGATCGCACCTCGCCCCTCCTTAGTGGATATTCAAACCCTCCCCTCTTTCCTCCCTGCTCACCTCCGCATGGTTACCCCCTCCCCACCCTCACAGCTGCAGCAGTTTCAGCAGCACCAGCACCAGCAGCACCTGTACTTTCACCAGCAGCAGCAGCAGCCGCAGTTTCTCCAGCCCCAGCAGCCGCCGCCGCCGCAGTTCTTCCAGCCACCGCCGCAGCAGCAGCAGCAGTTCCTTCCCCCACCCTGGCAGCAGCAGCCACTCACCTTCGGCACGGTGGCCATGGCCGCTCATACCTCCCTTCCTCCTCCTCCCCTCTGGGGTTCCCTCCCCCCCCCCCCCCCCCCCCCCCCCCCCCCCCCCCCCAAGTGTTCCCGACACTTCTGGTAGTTTCCTTGGTAATATCAGTGTTGCACCGTCCGTTGCTGCCATGTATCCCTCTGCTATCAATGTGACTTCGTTTCAGTATCCCGTCCCACCCCCTCCTCCCTCTTCTCCCACCCTGGACTTTGTCCTTGATAGTGGAGCCACTGAAATCGCACTGAAAGATGCTGGCACTCTCACCCCACTACCACTTCCCACTCAGGTTCATGGAGCTGATTCCAGCTTTTCCATTCCATGCACTCACCTTTCCACCCTCCCTTGCACTGCCTTCCCCTCCGGTAAGGTCACAGGTCTCCACATCCCCACTCTCCGCAACAACCTCCTCTCCCACCGTGAGCTCCAAGGTGTTGGTATCACTGCCATTTACCCCGGTTATGCCAATTACTGTGATCTCTACCAAACCTCCTCCGATCGCTTCCTTCTCCGCGTTCCGCTTTGCCCCCGCACTCGCCTCTACACACTCCGCACACCTCGCACATCTTTCTGCCACGTCACCACTCGTTCCGGTGCTTCCACCGGTCCACCTCCTCCTCCTTTACTTCCCCCTTCCCCTCCCACTCAAGTAACCTCTTCTCCCTCCCCACCATCCCCCTCCTCCCCTCCCGTTCCTTCCTTTACCCCATCTCCCTCCTCCTCCGCTGCCCTCTCCCACCCTGCTGTCCTCTTACACCACAGACTCGGCCATCCCAACTTCACCGCCCTTCGCACCACAGTCACCTCTCGCCTCCTCCGCAGCCTTCCTCCCGTCTTACCTCCCCTCCCCTCCTCCCCCTCTCCCCCATGCCCTTCATGCATTCACGGCAAGCTCAAACAGTCCCCCCACCACAGTCATCCCACCTTCGCCGCCGCCCCCATTGACCTTGTGCACATGGACCTCTGGGGCCCCTATCCCATCCGCTCCCGCCAGGGGCATCGGTACATGCTCGTCCTCGTTGACGACCACAGCCGGTACTCCACCACCTTCTTCCTTCACACGAAAGACCAAGTGCCGGCAGTGGTCATCAACTGGGCCGAACAGTGCCGCAATCACTTCAAACGCCCCATCGTCCGCCTTCACTCTGATGGTGGGGGTGAGTTCATCAATAACACCCTTGCCACATACTGCGCCACCTACGGCATCCAAAAGACCTCCACCCTTCCCCACTCCCCTCAGCAGAACGGCATTGCTGAAAGCCGCATTCGTGAGATCGCCAAGATTGCTCGCTGTCTCATTGCTCATGCCTCCACCCCTCCTTCCCTCTGGAGCTATGCCCTCCTCCACGCCGCTCTTCTCCTTAATCTCCGCTCCCACCCTCAGCATCCTTCTTCCTCCCCTACAGAGCTTTGGTCCAACGCCAAACCCGACGCTGCCGGCCTTCGCGTTTGGGGCTGCAAGGCCTTCGTTCTCATCCCACCCGCCGACCGCTCCCGCGCCGCTGGCAAGCTTGCTCCTCGCGCCCTGGAATGCGTTTACCTTGGGCACAATCGCGACTCCCCAGGCTACCTCTTCCTCCACCCTCCCACCAATCGCCTCATCCGCAGCGGCGACGTCGTCTTCGACGAATCCGTCCCCTATTACTCCACTTCTCCCCCTGATCCTCTCCCTCCTCCCACTCGTCCCCTTGCTTGGACCGACACCGTCCTCCCGCCCCTTCTCCCTCCAGCCCCTCTCCTCCCACCCGTCGCAGCTCCGCTCCCGCCCTCCTCCTCCGCCGATGTCTACGACCCTGCCGCACCCGCTTCCCCCGCTCACTTGGCCGCACCCCCTCCCCCCCCCTCCCTCCCCCTCTCCCTCTCCCTCCTTCCAGCAGCCGGATCAGCAGCAGCAGCAGCAGTAGCAGCAGCCGCAGCAGCAACAGCAGCAGCAGCAGCAACCGGGACAGCAGCCGGGGCAGCAGCAGCAGCAGCAGCCGGGACAGCAGCAGCAGCAGCAGCAGCAGCAGCCGGGCCAGCAGCAGCAGCAGCAGCGGCAGCCGGGACAGCAGCAGCAGCGGCAGCCGGGATAGCAGCAGCAGCAGCGGCAGCCACAGCAGCAGCAGCCTCAGCAGCCGCAGCACCAACACGGTCAGCCGCAGCCGCAGCAACAAGGGCAGCAGCTTCAGCAGCACCAGCGACAGCAGCGGCGTCGGGCCACCTCCCGTTCCTCCCCCTTCCTCCTCCCTTACATCCATACCCGCTCTGTGGACAAAATCCTTGGGGCTCCTCCTCCTGCCTCCATTCAGCTCCTTGAGGACTCCCATGAGGAGTTTCTTAACATTCGAGAGCACACTCCATTCCTTGCCGCCCTCTACCTTGACTTCCTGGGCTTTCCCGTCCTTGGCGCCACCACTACCCCCACCATCTTCACTCCCTCCACCTTCTAGGAAGCCATCACCTGCCCTGATGCGGATAAATGGATGGCAGCGATCTTCCTGGAGTGTGAGGCTTTCATTCGCAACGACTCCTTTGTCGATGTCCCTCTCCCTGCTGGCGCTAATCTCGTTGACGGCAAATGGGTCTTTCGGGTGAAGCAGCTGCCGGGCGAGGAACCAGTGTACAAGGCCCGCTACTGCGCTAAGGGGTTCACGCAGACTTGGGCTGAGGACTACTGGTTCACCTACGCCCCCACCGCCAAACAACCCACCCTTCGTGCCGCCATGGACATTGGTGCACGTGACGACATGGAAATCGACTCCATGGACGTCTCCAATGCGTTCCTGCAGGGTGACCTGTATGAGCGCATTTTCCTTCGGCGGCCCCCCGGGTTCCACGCAGCCTTTCCTGAGAACACTGTCTGGCAGCTGCGTCGCCCCGTCTACGGCTTGAAGCAGGCGCCGCGTGAGTGGCATGCGAAGCTGGCTGCCACCTTGGGGTCTCTTGGCTTCTCTGCTTCCCACTCCGACGCCAGCCTCTTCATCCGCTCCTCCCCCCGCCGCTTCTTCATTCTAGTATATGTCGACGACATGATCCTGCTCTCTGACACCAAGGCCGACATGGAGCAGGTGAAGGTGTCCCTGCAGCAGCGGCTCAAGTGCAAGGACCTTGGCGCCCTCACTCACTACCTCGGCATGACCATCACGCGCAACCGCCCTGCTCGCACCATTACCCTCTCCCAGTCCCATTACATCGGCCAGGTCTTGGAGAAGTTCGACATGACGCAGGCCAAGCCTGTCTCCAACCCGCACCCCTTTGGTCACCAACTCGCTCCACCCACCTCCCCCACCTCCTCCCCCCACCCCTACGCCGAGCTAGCCATTCTGCATGTCAAACTATATATGCTGCATGTTGTGTAGGCTGTAGTGGGGTAGCCCATATGGGATACAACCCAATTAGGGTTTACTACTTGTACTTCTGCATGCTGCTAGTTTATCCATTCCTCGTTCATTCTCCTGACATGGTTCCAGAGCAGGTCCTAGCCTAGGACCGTTTTTTTCAGGCCCACCATTGCTTCGTGACCGACTGCGGTTACCGCGTTACCCCACGCCCTGCCCTGCGCTGCACCGTCAGCGCGCGCCTTGCGATGCCCTGCCTTGCGCAGGGCAGCGCGACGCCCTGCCCTGCCCCGCGTCACGCTGCCTCGCGCACGCCCTGCCCTGCCCCGCGTCGCGCTGCCTCGCGCACGCCCTGCCCTGCCCCGCGTCGCGCTGCCCTGCGCACGCCCTGCCCTGCCCCGCGTCGCGCTGCATCGTGCGGAGATAACTACTACAACGGGAGCTAGACTACGGGCTAGGCACGGGTGCTCGTGTGATCTCTGCGTTCCTTGGTCCTTAGTCGGTTTCCTAGTGCTCACACTACTTGCTAGCTCACAAGGTAATCTGGCAAGAGTTTCACTAGAGAAAGGTTGACAACAATGGTACAATGAAGTTGGCAATGCAAGACTACATCAGAGCTAGCATTTAGGTCGGCCAACTGCCAGCGCAGCTTGGTCGACCGCGTTCCAGCACGACTTGGTCGACCGCGCTCCAGCAGCGCAAGGACGACGGCGTGCCAACGTCGCAGGTTGACGGTGTGCCAGCGTTGCTCACGCAGGACAGCAGCGCACCCACTTCGCAGGTGCGCGCAGCTGATTGGCGGGCTGAGCCTCGTCACCCGCACAACGCACACACCACGTCAACCTCAAGCTGATGACTGCCTCTGATCAGCCACGACAACCTCGGGATACCACCACCGAGGTCGGGCTCGCCAACTTCGCCTGGGCGACCGTCGCACTCCTCTGCAGCACTTCGTCACCCAGGTAACCTGGTCGACCGGGCAACCATGTCGACCAGCTGCTCCCGTACGTGCCCGTCGACCTCCCAAGTCGACGACCACCTCCACGTCGACCACGCCCCTGGTCGACCAGCTCCAGGTCGACGTCCCTTCTGGTCGACCAGCACCACGTCGACCAGCAGTCCTGGTCGACTAACCACCAAGTCGACCAGCGCAGTTGTCGGCCGACCACCCACGTCGGCCACCCAAAGTCGGCGTCACGGAGTTGACGCCCCGCTA